AATGAATAATTGGAGTAAACCGGCTACCCCCTAGTAGTTTACACAACAGCACGTTGGTGGTGATAGGGACTGCCAGCTTCCCTGAGAGACACACTGCAGACGCGATAAGCCGTGCCTTGATGAAGATCCGATTGAAGTATGGCCTGCACCCTGTAGTTCCACGTGACCAAGTCATGACGGAGTCGGAGATGGAAGCGGACCCTGTGCATGCGTTTCAGGACGAGTCGCCATGCGATCGTGTGGCTCTCACCATGGACTGCGCCTCGAATATGAGTTCAGCAGCCGAGAAAAAGGAGATTTTTGATTGGCACTCCTGCATTTGCCATCTATCAAATACCGCAGTCAAGGCCAGTTTCCAAAATGTTAAAGAGTTTCAGCAGCTCGTCCAGCCACTTCGCGAATTGGCAAGTCATTTTCACAAATCGCCCACTGCTTGGAAGCTTTTCCGCCGCGTGCAAAGGAAGATGCTAAAGGAGGAAGTGGCCGGCGATGTATCATCAGATGATGATGAGGAGGATTACTCAGGTGTAAGGGAAGAGGATGATGTTGCTGAGTTGCCCGATGATCCTGATGCAGATCTGACGGTTCCTGATAATGAAATGGAGCAGGCTTGTCCAAAGCAAATATTGCGTCTGGGGACTTGGTGCCCGACAAGGTGGAACAACATGTATTTTTTGATTAAGAGGTCGGTTTTGTTGGAGAGAAGCATCCGCCAGTATACAGCAAATGCGAGAATTCCTAGGATCATTATACCAGCAGCTGGGTGGCGCATTTTCAAACAAGTGCTGCCAGTCCTGGAGTCCATACGGGAATTGTCTGAGCAATGTGAGGGGGACGAGTACATCACCATATCGGATGTCTTGTACAATGTGTTGAAGTTGTTGTACGATCGGCTGTATGTCACTGACACTGAGGCACATGCAAAACCTGTGTTGCTTGACTTCACCTCTGAGTTCACAAAGAAATTGTCTGCGGATTGTGGTAATGTCAATCTAATATACTGCTGGGCATTAGCAGCGGCTGTGGATAGAAAGAGGAATACATTGCATTGGATGAGGAGGATCTGGAACAATGCTGACGATTGGCCAAATCTGGTGAAAGAATATGACACCCTGGCAAAGTTCCAAGTGATGTTGAAGAAAGAGATGACGGCATTGGTGAGTTCAGTTCTGATTTGTGGCCTTTGCCTTTGTAAATGTGTGCATCCAATTGTGGATAGTTTTGGCCGGTACCAAGTGTCCTTTGTGCCTTTGCATGCATGACTGTGCCTGCTGTGTACTTTGCCTTAAACGGCCGTCTCCTGGGATCACTTGGCTGCATGGGGTGTGTGCTTTTATATTTTGCTTGTGTGACTAACAACGTGCATATGACTTCTGCAACTGAGGCACATGGTGAAGGCGCCTGAGGTCCATTCTTCGGGCTCATCATGCAAAGAGGATGTAACACAGGCTGTGCAGCAGAGTTGGCTAGACGCGGCATCACCCCCACCTAAGGGACCACTACGTTTCCGACCATCAAGACGGAGAAGACGGGCCCCATGCTCCCCACTGCACATGGACCCAGTGGAGGCCGAAGTCGAAAGGTGGTTTGATTTAAAATGGACACCAGCATGTGAATATAAAAAAAAATGGAGTGCTGGGGATTGGTGGGGCGAGAATCACACCAGCTTCCCCTTAGTGGCCAGGCTTGCACGTCGAATATTAGCAACACAGGTGAGTGGGTGAGTACAACTGGCTGTGCATATATACCAAAGTGCCCTTATGTGAAATATGGAGTTGAAAGGAAGGAAAATACTGAATATCTTTGGTTGTGTTGCAGGTTTCCAACGCCAGCAGTGAATGCTCATTTTCCAAGTTTGGTTTTATTGTGATGCCAACTAGCTATGCATATATACCCGCAATTACAGGTTCAGGCTAAGAATCTTGAGTGTCGTTAATCCTGAACTCATCAATGGCATTAGTCAATGCTCCGCTCAAAATATCAGATCATCGCGACTTCAGATCTGCGGATCGGGTCGGATCAATAACTCGAAATCAACACATATAGATAGAAGAAAATTTTATTCAAGAAATGCGTCCCAACAAGTACTGTGATTGGTGGATAGACTTTACAGTTGCTGCCCTGGCGTGGAAACTTCTGGAGTACCGCCGCGGCGAGGGTGCAATAGGCAGAGATGGAAGATAACAAATCACAACTCGTACTATTCGTTGCCCATTTTCATGTATGTTGAACTGTTGAACTTCAACGTACTATGTTGGAATGGTGGATGAACCTAGGGTATCATATAGATAGAAGAGAATTTCTGTGAGAAATGTGTCCAATCGAATAGTGCAATTGGTGGATAGGCTTTACACTCGCTACCCTGGCATGGAAACTGTGGAGTACCGCCGCAGCAACCCATCGTAATTCGAGTTGCTGCAAAATGGAAACCCCTTGGCAACTTCGCCTCAACCTTGCCGTGGCTGGAAAGCAAGTACCTATGGGTAATAACGAACCAAAATTATTAATCAACGGATATTTTGTTGCGGACCGGACGCCGCACACATCATCCGTTAATTTAACGGCAAATAACGGTGAAGAAAAAGTGAGAGCCGGATTCTGCGGATGGCAGTACGGCAAATAGCGAACCGGATATTACCGGACGAATATCACACTCAGTTTTACGGACCGGACTTAACGGACCGGACGGAACCCGAGTGTGGCCACCTCTACAATCTCTACGAGCTTGTTGCTCATTGAGCTGCTTCGCACAAGCAAACCATTCTTAGTTACGAGCATGCCGCCGCTCCTTTTCTATGTAATGAACTTGCACTCTTTTTGACATAACCCCTGGCAACGGGGATGCGCAAGATGAAAAAGAAAGCTCAGAGATTTCCTCCCATCTTTGGTGAGGGTCATCCGGAACTGCTATCTTCTCTAAGAGGGCCATTACCCCTGGGGTTTGGAGAAGGCCAACCACCACTTCTGGGTCCGCCGTCGCTTTAGCATCCACAGCCTCAACTATGGGTTGGTTCTGTTCTTCCACTTGCGCATGGCTTGTTGAAGCTTCGGCTATGTCCTCTTGGACTACTTCTCCCATAACCTCGCCCTCTTGGGCCGCTTCCCCTATACTGGCTCTCGCCACTGGTTCTAGAGGTGGCCACCCGGATCCGTTAATAACGGACAGAGGTTAATTCCGTTAATTAATCCGTTAATTAACGGAAAATAACGAAAAAAGACAAAAATTAACCAAAAATTAACGGATTTTTGGATTTTTTGGGGATTTTTGGGGTTTTTTCATACTTATAGTTTATAGAATTCGCTATTAGAGAGCATGTTTGTATTTTATTTCAACCTATGCATACTAGATTTTTAACTAGCCGCAGTTGTTGTGATTTTTTGGGTTTTTTTTCGATTTTTTTGGATTTTTTTTCATTTTTTCTGAATTTTTCTCCCTTTTTTTGCAACGGAATTTAACGAACAGTTGATAAAAATTAACGAACCGGATTTAACGAAGCGGATGGCATCTTGAATGGCCACCTCTAACTGGTTCCCCCTCCCAAGGTGCGGATTCGACCGTTTCAATGGCCTGTCCCTCATGGGCTACATCATCCGACTCCTCGGCCTCCATGAAGGAGGAGGCTAGGGATAGAGTTGTGTGGCGTTGTCCTAGCCTCCGCACACAGACAAAGCGTACGAACGGCCACCTGAGGTGGCTCCAAAACCAACTGATACGTGAAAATTGTGGGTGTGGGGCTCCTGCCCTCTTTGAGCCGTGGACCCACCTCGCCGGGCACCTAGGTCCTTACGGGGACCTAGGCGGGACCACCCCAACCTACTCCCATATCATATAATAATATAATCTCGTTGGAGAATTGTTACCATATTTTGGGCAGGGCGTCCCCCACGCTAAGAGACCATTAGTAGGGCGTCCCCCACATCAGGTCAATGTGCGTAACATCTAGGTAGGCCGTACTGCACCAGAACGGAATTGGGACGGTTGCACACCAGTCTAAATTCGTCCCGAGTCCATTCCAGCCCAGGGACAGGTCGTTCCTTAGCCGTCCCTGGGCCTACCGGCTCAAGGACGGGAACGGACTCCGGTCCGTTCCCGTTCCCGTTTCTAATCCGTCCCCATTCCAGGACGGCCCACCTCTGTCCACAACACACTTTGGAGTCAGGTGTCGGAAATGTTTTCCAGCCATTTTCCATAAATCAACAATGATCCACTCAACGAATACCTTTGTTGTGAACACCCTTAAATGGAATTTTTAACTCATTTGTCAGAATTGATGTGCTGGCCACCAATAACCAACCACGCAATGCTTGACCACAACGTAATTGCATGAAGCATGGACGGCCGCCTCCTTGCCTTTCTGTGTAATATTTTTTGACTTGGATTAAGTCGAATTGAATTTAAATGAGTTGAAGGGAAGATGGCCTTCAAATATTTCCCGACTTTATGATCAGGAAACATTTGCGCAAAAGTCATAGAATGTTTTTTGGAATCAGAAACTACCAGAGCCTGGTTCATCACGGAGTTGAATGGGGGCGAGTCCAATATCGCCTGGTTGTCCTGGTTCGATGCTACGCGCTTCTGTCATTAGGACGTGAGCACGCAGCAATGAACCAAAACAATGATTTTGCCTGCCATTTTTCAATTCCCTCCCTGTTTGCACATTCACAGCCGCTTGGGGGCTGGCACTTGGATAAAAAGGCGACGCAAAATTTTGGAACAAAAGACAGGAAAAAGTGCAAAGTGGAGCGAGGACCCTCCCTCTCGTTTTGTGAGCAGAATCCTCAGGAAGGACCACTTGACAGCAGTTAGGACCAGCTGACAGTACACCTCGTAGTTTAGGAGCCCGAGGGCGTCTTCCTCAGGGTTCAGACGCCTGATACATGGAGCAGGTGGACGCCACCCACAGGCGGGCTGAGGCGCCCGCCCCGGCTTCCCTCCCAACGACCGCCCACCCCCACCCACGCCCCGTGGTCCCGGCGCCCCCGCCTCCGTACGAACCCCCATGCGGCCGTCGGCAATCGGCGCCGATGCCCCCATGATCCGCACCCTGCGCGCGGTGGCTAGGATGCCATCCCCCGCCCGGGTCCCCCCGCAGCCCGCTTGGCGACCGGCCGACGCCTCCGATATCCGATGTACGATATCCGATCGCGTCTCCAAGGCATCGACCTGTGGTGAAGGAGTTTTGATGCACGGGGGATCGACGCCGGGCAATGCGCACAGGGCGATGGCCATTTCGTCCGCGGCGGCCATTTCGTCCGCGGCGGCCGAGCGTGCCGTCGGGGCGGACCCCGAGGGTGCGGCGGAGGACGGAAAGGTGGCGCCGGGGCTTTATCCGTTCGCGGAGATCGAGGGGAGGTGGCAGGCGCACTGGAGGGAGCGCAAGACGTTCAGGACACCGGAAGAGGTGGACACGTCCAAGCCCAAGTACTACGTGCTGGACATGTTCCCGTATCCCAGGTGGGGGGGATCAGGCTTCTTGCGTGCGATCCCGGCGGGACATAGAGGCCCTGGTTTGCGTTTTTGTTGTGTCCAGAAAAGCAAAAATATGTGTCCAAAAACGCAGAATGGCATTAGTGGGAATGGATGTGGCTACTGCAGGAAATGTGAAAAACGACGGACTGGTTTTGCCTGAACGCGGTTCGCAGGACACCATTAGTTTCTTCAGCGGTCTGAAAGTGCCTCACAATAGTTGGCGCATAGGAATCAGGACATATCCCAGGCACGGTGATGGGCTTTTGTTGCTCACCGCCTCTCAATGTGCACTTGGGCCCTTGTGCTGCAGCATTTGCGAGAAAAGAAACTAGCGCAACGCAATGCAGCCAGGAGCGAATTTCTTATCCTGCTGTCTGGCTTTCCCCTTGATCACACAACCTGCATCAACCAAGGCATTGTCCTTTCAACTGCATTGCTGGTTTTGACAGGCGTTTGGGGCATCCCCTCTTTGGTTGCTCCCAGAATATCCGTGTTGCATGCTCGTTGAATGGTGCAACACATGTGACAGTCTTTTTCACATAGCAGTGCAAAACCTGTTAGCAAAGATGTTAAAGGAATGTGTGGTACTTTGTCAGAAAGGATAGGTATTTTATCTACAGCAAATGCCCTCCAAATCCAGGTAATTTCCTGAAGGAGTTGTGCAACAAGGTGAATATGGTACCAAATTTGTAAGCGAATGCATGTTAGCCTGGCTGAATGGGTGCACTGGACTAAAGAACCCGGCCTAATGTTGGAAAGAATGCCAGAAGGCTGCCACAAGGTGGAAGGCATGGAAACAGTTTTCACCTCCAGCTATCATTCAGCATCTTCACCTTGGATGGTGGGTGGTATGGGGCTCACAAGAGTTTGGGGATGTACAAGCCTGTGGGATGAACAAATGGGCCTCAAAATGAATGCCAGGAATAGTAGTTCAGGTGAGGCATCACTTGCCTGACACTTTCATTTAGAACAAGGTGCTGCCCTGGAATCTATTGGGGGGACCTGTGACATGCAATTGGATGCTCTGGACAGTGGTGCAGGCCTCCATGTGGGGCACCCTGAGGGCTACACAGCCACAGACATATTGGCGAGATACAAGCGTATGACAGGACACAATGTGCTACACCCCATGGGATGGGATGCATTTGGCCTTCCTGCAGAGCAATATGCACTTCAGGTGATGCATGGCACCTGTGCCAGGTCTTTCTGCAGCTCCCTTGTCTTGAACTGTCAAATGGCAATGTGCCCAGTCAAGAAACAGTCTTAGCCTTTCTGCAGTGTTCTTGGGGAACTGCTGCCTTCCAAAGATTCCTCCTCTTATTCTTGTGCATTGTTGATTGGATGAAGCAGCAGTCCACAGCTACAACACAGTCAAGGAGAACCAGGACATGGTCCTGCTTCAGTTGCAGGTCAATTTGGTGCAACACTGGCAGTGGCACCGCAACAGAGTACAACAATGTAATCGCACAGCAGTAGATCAGTAATACAGTGCGTTCCACTATGTCACACACTATGTCACAGCATGCCAACGTGTTCCATGGTGTAGCACATGTCGCACAGTATGTCACAGTATATCAGTAGCACAGTACAGTACAACAGAGTACCAAAATGCAACGGCATGGCAGTCAATCAATAAGTGCTGCAGACCCTTTTGGTCACAAGACTGTATAGGTACAATCAATGCATTGCAGAGCGATTGTGGACATAATTCCAACCACAGTATGTGTTTGGGGAAGGGCAATGTAGGGAAGTAGTGGTCAAGCAGGAGGTGCTTCCAGGAATTCGTATTTGTGCCCCAAGCATAGTGAGTTGAGCAGGTCAGATCTGTGCCAACAGTTTCATGCTTCAACTGTGATGCACTGTCGTGGTTTTGTAACGATATTTGTTGCAGTCGCGCTGTGCTGCATGTAGTTCCCAGAGTGCAACCATCTGGGTTCATCAATTTGAGACAGTTTGAATTTCATGCAGACCAATACCCACCCTCAAGTGACCACAAAACGGAACATTGACCGCTTTCGAGAACAGCTTCAGTCCCTTGGATTTTCATACGACTGGGACCGAGAGATTGCCACCACAGATGCCAACTACTACAGGTGCGCATTGTTTGTTGTTTGATTGCTTTTAGTGTTGTGTTCCAATACTTCCATGTCACCATCCACTGTAAGGAAAGAGTCTGGTAGACTGTAACTGAAGATGCAGCTCGATTCCAAACAAAATCTGTTAGGCAAAGGATGGGAGTTAGCAGCAGAATCTTGAGAGTGGACAAGAACCGCACATAGTTTGTGGCCGATGGCCAAGAGACACCTCAATCAGTGCAGGAACATGTACTTGACAGAGATGCCAATGTTTGGAACTCCCTGCATACTGGCCTAACATATGGTCTAGATTGAGGCAACACAGCCAATCGTTGAAAACAATAATCTTGGAAGCACGATTTAGCACTGGGTAAGAGATGGTCCACCAAGAGAATAATAGCAATGATGCCGTAACTCTTGAAATGGTGTAGCAGTGTTTGTTTGTTGTGCACAGCAAGGTTCCTCATGAATATGGGGGATCTGGGTTGAACATGCTGGCAAAAAAGGGCCAGTGCAAGAGTTGGGGAACTGAGGGCACACACGGGACTATACAAGGACATTTTTGATAAGTTGTCAATGTTGTGTTGTACAGTGACGAGTAAAGTGATCATTGCCCACGCCAATCTAAAGCCAACCAAGACATGCAATCTGGTGATGGATTGACCCATTGAGTCGATCACAAAAGTTATGGCAATATTGCTATTGCATTGGAGATAGTATATAACTGTGCTTATAATATATATCAAAAAATCCCTTGTGGGATTTGTGACAAATAATGTGAAGGCAGCATTCTTCATTTCTCAACTACCTGCATGACTAAGAAACAACTTTGGTAATGTGCTTCGGACCGAGATGATTGCTTGTACATGCAGATGGACACAGTGGATATTCTTGAAGCTTCTGGAAAGAGGGCTTGCCTACCAGGCTGAGGTACCAGTGAACTGGTGCCAGGAACTTGGTAAGTTTGTCCAAGCATTTGGCTGCACACATGTTCGACAGGACACTGCCGATCTGTGCTGTTGCTGTCCACTGTGCAAATTTGTTGAGGTACAACTGATCTGTTGAGCTGATGAATCATTGGCATCTGTGTGCAGCATAACTGGTGGATTTTGGTACTTTTTTTTGCCAGATTTCTAGCTGGCTGTGCAATCTCCTATTGTTAGTTGCTGATGAATGAACTGTACTTAATTGAATTGTATCAATGCGGCCAAGTACATGGGTTCACAGCGGATTCACTGGTGACGCAATTCGAGCATAATGCAACTGATCAACAGGCACATGGACGTCCAGTGTGCTGATGTGATGGCTTGATTGCTGGTTCACACAGGTACAGTCCTTGCCAATGAAGAGGTGATTGATGGCAAGAGTGAACGTGGGGATCACCCTGTCGTGCGTTTGCCCATGAAACAGTGGATGCTGCGGATCACTGCATATGCAGACAGGCTGCTTGAAGACATGGACGAGTTGGACTGGAGCGAGAGTCTAAAGGAGATGCAGCGCAATTGGATTGGTCGCTCTGAGGTAGGGGAACACATTTATGTTTTCTTCAGGGCCCCCTACTTATGTCAGTTTTCAGATTTGCAAACCAAAGAGCGGGTTGGCCTGGGGACAATTACTGTTGCGAGGCTTTGGCCAGAATGTACTTTGATGCAATAGCTTGCTGAATTGTTAGGCTGTTGTGGAGAATCTGGTGCACACTGCAAAAGAAAGGCATTGGCCATGTGCACAGAATTTTCTATGAAGGTGGGCAGGGAGACTGTGTTGTGCAATCTGTGTCTCAATTGCTGTGATGTCTGTTATCTGCACACAAGGGCATCTTTGACGCAACCAATCAAGTGGAGTCATGCTGATTGTACCAGATGCGATCCTGACCTTTTTTTTTACTGTGTAAAGTCTATCATACACATATAATATATAATATATGTCGTGGAAGTAGTAAGCTCACAAATCTGCACGTGAATGCAGGGGGCTGACATTGAATTCGAACTTCAACCTGGGCCAGGTGCCTCCTTCCAGGGAGGCACCAAGCTGCAAGTGTACACAACAAGACCTGACACTCTGTTTGGTGCAACCTACATGGTTCTTGCACCTGAGCACCCGCTGGTTGAGAGCCTGTGCTCGGACGAGCACCGGAAACAGGTCATGTCTTACGCAAGCGCAGCTGTGCAGAAATCAGATCTGGAAAGGACGAACTTGGCAAAGAGTAAAACTGGAGTTTTCACTGGTATGAACACAAGCTGAAATATGTGTTTGCGTTCTGGTTATTTGGAGTTGAGTTATGGCCAGTGGAATTTGTCTCTTGGGTTTGTCTGTCTGGTTTTGGTTTGCATCCCCACACCCGTGCCACCCTGCAAGTATTATGAATAGATTGGGTGCACAGCATCTGGCCGGGCCTCTGTTGCACATTCTACATTGCATTTTGGAGCCGGAAAAGTGTCGGTGATCCTTTCCAGTCTTGGCTGGCCCTGCCCTGCCTCCCCACAGCTATTCATCCCTTTTGCTCCTTGTCTTTGCTGAATTAATGGACATACATGTGAATACGGATGTGCTGTTGGGTATCTTGGGTCGCATGACACCTCCTGTCACACAGATTCCCCTAAACCCCAAACGTTTGGCGTCACGCCGAGCGCGATCGCACACATGGCATCACGCGACCCAAGATACATGGGGGGTACATATTGAGTATTTGGGCTGTGGTCTATGTTGCAATCCCATTGACATTGTCAAGTTGCAGCTGTGCTGCATATCCCACGGTCTCGCCCTTCTGGGGTGCAACCTCATTTCTGATCAATGACATGGTGTTCCCCTTGTGGCTGTAAGGCAGCTTTGCCATCAACCCTGCGACTGGGGCTCCCATTCCAGTTTGGGTGGCGGACTATGTGTTGGGCAGCTATGGGTCAGGTGCCATCATGGCCGTCCCAGGTCATGATAGTCGTGACTATGAGTTTGCATGCCAGTACGACCTGCCGATTAAACGTGTTGTGGAGGCCTCAGAGGGCGATGCAGAGCTGCCTATGTCTGGTGAGTTTATTTTGCTTCAATCAAGGATTGTTTACCTGTGCTGCTTGTACAGCCTAGAAGCTAGATTGAAAAGCACTGCCCTCACTTAGTGAAGAGAAACACCATGACAGGAGGGGGAAGCAAGCGCATGTGGAGGACAGAAGGTGCACATAATCGGTTTTGAGGCAGAAAGTCAGCAATTGGTCTTGTGTTCATGGTGCAACACTGGCAAAGTCCCATAGTGCTGAGCAAGTGGCAGCCAGGCTGCTGATGCTTCAGACCTTATGCAGATATTTGCAAGGAAAATCTGTGCTGGAAACTAAGCAAATGGTTGCTTAGCAGGTTTTGTTGATAAATGTTATGGAAGGGTTAACAGAAAACCCAGACATTTGTCACTCATCCGAGAATGTCCTCTCGCCTTGAAGACACAGATGTTGCTGCTCCTGCTGTTGTCTTGGAGATGGCAGGGGTTTTGTTGTTCATGTCCACTGAGGCAAATCGATGGCGTTGAATTGACAAATCGATCGTGTCCACTGAGTGTACTGTCTTCATGTGAACTGCACACCACTGTTGGTGATGGTGCCTTGAAGCAGCACACTTTTCAGCGACAGCAAAGTTGAAATGTGCATTCCAGAGGTTATACACAATCAGAAGTGGTAGCTGTGGTAAATGTGGTGGTTGTATCATTGGATTGCAGGGCAGAGGTTCACCGCATGGTATTCGCCAATGCGGCATTCCCTCGACACTTACAGTTATCAAACATTGCATGTTCATGCATGCACTGTAACTTTGGGAAAATTTTCCAGCCATTTGCCAGCTTCTAGTGGCAAGGACTACAAGTGCATTTGACACCAATGGTGGCTCCTGAGCAGGTATGAACTCCCTCTCTGTTGACCTGCAGATAAGGGCATCAGTGTGAACTCCTCCAACAGTGCCTTCCAATTGAACATTGACGGCCTGCCAACATCTGAGGCCCAGGCGAGAGTGGTTGAATGGCTGGAGGCCAAGGGAATCGGCTCCAAGAAGGTTAACTACAAACTACGTGACTGGCTGTTTGCTCGGCAGAGATATTGGGGTGAACCCTTTCCAGTGATCTACCCTGAAGGCTCTGACGTGAGTCCAGGTCTTGTGAATGTCAGAATGGGGTGTGTTCTGCTGCATGTTGGGTTGTACTGGGAATGGTGGCCTGCATGTGTTGGTATTATCTTGCACTTGAGCTGTCATCACGTGGTTTGCTTTCTGACAAGACATGTTTTAGCACCATGCTGCTCTATCCCTCCTCTGCTCATCTTTTGGTCCAGAGGGCTGTGGCCATTGGACAACATGTCTCACCTGTTGCAAGGACTCCTGTCCCCCTTCAAACTGACAGCCCACATGGGCATTGTCCGTCTCCAGGAGCCTGTCCCCATCCCTGAGTCAGACCTCCCCCTGACCCTTCCCGACATCGAAGACTTTAAACCCAGCGGCACTCCTGACTCCCCCCTCGCGAACGTCACGGACTGGGTCAATACCACTGAGGCAGCCACAGGCCGGCCGGCACGCAGGGAGACGTCCACCATGCCCCAGTGGGCAGGCTCCTGCTGGTACTACCTGAGGTTTATCGACCCGGGGAACGTTGCAGCACTGGTTGACCCAGAGCAGGAGAAGTACTGGATGCCAGTGGATATGTATGTGGGTGGAACAGAGCATGCAGTCCTGCATCTGTTGTATGCAAGGTTCTGGCACAAGGTGAGGGATGTGGCAAGTTTCCTTGTTGGCAGCTGTAGGCAGCCTGGACAGAGACAGGTTTTGCTGTTGTTAAGACATGGCAAGTCGTTGCCAGTGCACCAAGCAGGGGATATTGTTGGCTGACTATGCTCACAAGTGGACTGTCGTGAAGTCGGGATGTGGGCTGCATATTTTAAGTTCTCCCTTTGCTTTTGCTTTTGTCCCTCAAAGTGCCTTGCAACAATGACAGTGCGTCTGCAAGACCATATTTCACTCGTCATTCTTTGCAATCCGCAAAAGAAAATCAAGCTGCTTACTGCTCTGTTACTCATTAGTGCATCAATCAGAAACATTTGTGAGCATAGTGCACCTCCAGCCATCAATCACACTTTGGAAGTGAATGGAATGACATTGAAGGATCGAAACTTCAATGCTGTGCTGCATTCGGTTATGTAACTGCAGGGCGTTGCAGTCAGCCAGTATAGGCATTACATTTGTGACCTGCACTGACAAGTTTCACCTGCAGTTCTGCAAAAAGTTAGGCAAACTGCCTGTGATGCTGTCCATGTAGCTTTGTCAAACTTTGTACTGGTGCGCTGTGGTCTTTCAAGGCACAATGTGCTGTGGTCACACTTGTCAAAGATTGGACAGAGCACTGCCCCAGGCGCTTTTCAGCAGCATGGCATTTGTTGAAGTGCGGCATTGACTGCGACAGGTGCTGTATGATTTAGGGGTGGTCTCAACAAAGGAGCCCTTCAAGAGACTTGTGAGTCAGGGCATGATCCTTGGAGAGGTCGAGTACTGGGTGCACAAGGACTCACAAGGAAACTATGTGGATGAGGGACATCCAGAGGCAAAGCCTGTCAGGTGGGAGAATTCGCTGTGCATGCATTAAACAAACGCCCAACTTTTGACTCCACATATTGCAATTGTGGTTGATTATGTCAGACACTCTTGTTGTGCGCTGGTAGGGTGGTGAGGTAAACGTGAGGCCAGCTGGAGTAGAGCAAACTGTGGCATTGGCTTATCCCACTGCGATGATTATTAGTTGTTGTTCGATGCTTTGATTGTGCTTAATTGTCAGCTTTGTATTTTAAAATCACCAGTGGTTTTATACCTCTGGGATGAGAAAGGACTGACCACACATTTAGCGAGCTGCTGAGCAATGTGCAGATACACAATTGTTTGTTTGTTTGGATCTCTTGCTGCCAACGATGGACCTCGATCCCTTGCTGATGCCTCCTGCAGTGAAGCAAGGAAACAAAATTCTTGGAATTGGTGATCTGCAACAAAGGTAATGGCAGCTGTGGTGCAGTGCAAATACATGCCTGTGCACCTGTGCTCACTCTGCTCCTATGCAACCAGGGGAACAAATCAAGTACATTTTGCATACCTGGCATTGCCTTCATTTGTCACCAGTCACCAGGGGCTTGTGGAGCCCGCGCGCACATGCAGTTACATTTCCACGCTCTCCAGTGGAGGTGGCAACCTTGAACGCATTTTTCGGCGAAAGTGGGACCAATACTGGGCTCAGACTGCACGATTTAGTTCATTTTATACACAATTATCTGCATTTTGACACGATTTAGACACCAAATGGGAATTTTGTGAAATGGCCAGTTTTTACCAGTGTTTGTCCAAAGAAGCACAACAGACGAATGTGCAGGGAATGCTTGCAGAGGCACAGCTTGGAGTGCCGCAAGTGTGCGATGCAATGCAAAGCTCGATGATTGAGTTGTTCCATCCTCCTGCTATGCAACGATGGACGGCTTAGAAATCCTCTGTTGACTTGAATGCACAGAGTATGTGCAAAGCAAATGAATGACTGATGTTTGGAATATCAAGGTATGCGTAACACAATCAGGGGCGATGCAGTCTCTGTTAGCTACAAGGAATGTTCTTTGCAAATCACCTCGCTCACAGTGGCCACAAGTCACCAGCGGGCATGCTGTACAATATGTGCATTCAGCCTCACCAGAATCTACCCTTTGCTTTGCAGGATCCCAGAGTCGGAGATAGAGAAGAAAGGCAGTGCTGCTTTCCTGAAATCGGACCCCAGCGTGCCAGTGGCTGCCCGAGCCTTCAAGATGAGCAAGAGCAGGGGAAACGTCGTCAATCCGGATGACATCGTGGCACAGTA